ACAATGTGATTACTGAAACGCTATTTAACATTCCTCTAGACCAGGTAATAAAATTTCGCACTTTTATTTTTTTAATCTTTTCAATTCTGGTGGTGGTTCAATATTGTGGTTTATATTAGTAATCTAATAAAGAATAGAAATTGATACTCTAATAATCCTAACATTTTTTTTTGTTGCTGTACCTGCTTTACATATATCTTTGGGTACCTACTTAAAGTTTTTTAAGATGTTTGAAGACGAATGCCGCTTAATAAATATAAGACTTGCAAGAGAACTTGCTTTAAAAGATAACATGATTGGTAAAGTTGTTTTTGACAAATATGTTAACATGCATATCCAATCCAATCTTGTAAAAAGTTTTATTGAAGACTGTGACAATAAAATTGCACTTCTATAAGGTACAATATCAGTAAAAGTTTTATGTCAGCCAGATTAAACGCAAGAAATAGGAAACTTATATACACCAAGAATAATATACTATGATTTAATAAAAAACGATAAGGTATTGATTGTTATGTAGCTGCAAAAATGTAATTTTGAATTATGTATAATGTTGAACTAAATTTAAAATGACATTTTTGGTAAATTAAAATATTCAAAAAAATTATTATTAGATATATACTTAAATTTTAAAAACTAATTTTTTTTATTTAAAAGAATAAATTTCTTTAAATGAAGCAAACGTTCTTGATAAAACTTCAGATCCTTGCATTCAACAACTTGGTGAGGTGTTGAAGGCAAATAAAGTAGAAAGACAAGCTTATCATTGAAAATGCTTTGTTAGAAACCATGTTCACACAATGCTTAAGGTTTTTGTTATATAGTATATATATTATATTTATAAAAAAAGGATCTACATATATTTAGAACATTCATTCTGAAAAACAGCATTTAAAAAACAAACTGCCATTGCTAGACTGGAAAACTGCTTACTGAGAAAAATCCTGATGTTGCTTTCTAATTGTTGACATAAGGATGCCTTTTATGTTTCTCCAATTTTTTTGCTTTAAACAACCAGATATTAGCAAATTAAGTCAATTTACTATGACATCTTTCCCCTATTTTATAATTTTAATTTAAATGGAGTGCCAAACCCCACCCTACCCCTTCATTTTGCAAAAAACTAGAGTTTGTCGACAAAAAAAGAAAAAACTTCTAAATTCAGTATTTTATAAATCAGTTTAAATAATTTAAACTAATGTTAAACTAATGTAACAGAAATGTAAAAATATTTTACAAATATATTTTTTTTAGCTTTTTTCTAGCAACTATTGCTAGATTTGTGCAATTCTATTCCAAAACTAATTTCAACTCATGGTTTTGTGGCACTGATGTTCATTTGTTATCAATTAATGTGAGCCAGAAATTTATGCAGTTATTTCTTTATTATTCAACTTGTCACAATTCCATGAACAGCTCGCAATCTTTTTAAGAAAATAATATTAGGGAACAAGGTAAGTTTTCTTTTTAAGCAATCTGATGGTTGAGTTTAACACATTGTTGAGCTAATTAAAAAGCAATTATTGCAAACGGGCCTAGTATGCTCGTTGATTGCTTTTAGGTATATATTTAATTAGTTTAAATATTTTTTATACTCAAATTATTTAATTTTAGAATTTGCAACCCGCATGCCTATGGAGTATTATCGGTTGACTCGGCCGAGTGCATCTGTAAGTCGGAAGATGCATTTGCTTGAAACCCATGTCATTCAATTTATTGAGAAATGGGGACTAGGTATCGGAGTTTATGGGGAACAAGGCGGCAAAAGTTTGTATGCTGAAATTAACAACCTTAATTGTTTTTTTTTTTTGGCACATGAAAGGCTGTAGTCGTTTAAAAAGCACTGTAAAAAAACATTTTCTGAGAAGCCATCCGAAAGCTAAAGTTATGAAACCAGAAATAAAAAAAAATAAAAAAAATTGCATAGATCTTAAAAACTACTGTATACAAAAATGTATTGAGAGTCCAATCTTTTAATAAAAAAGTTCACTAAGCAGTATATACTTTAGAAATCTATCATTCTTCAAAAGTAATATTATTGGCTCTCAATTACACCATTATCGAAAACTCAAATTAAGTAATTACATTATATATTAAAAATGCTACTGTTGAAAATTTCTTGGATCTATGATCCAATAGTTTATAAGATTCCATTTTGCGAAAAAAAATGTATTACCAATAGAAACTATATCTAATTGTGTTTAAAGGTTATCGGAGGGACAGATTTTTTTTAGTTTTTTAATTATAAATTACAATAAAAAATGTTGGATAAAGTTTTGGTTTTTAAAATAAATATTTTCTAGGCATTACAAAATTTAGTCTTGAATAATAAAAATTTATCATTTACATTATCAAAAACGAATTTACTTATCAATATTTTATATATCATAAATCTTGTAAAAGTTGTTTCTCAATAAAATATGCAAATATCGGTGTCCGTATTTAAAAGCGCGATTCTATAAGTCGGAAATCTCATACACATTTTTGCTGTAAATTGTTACAAGTGCTATTTTATAAAATATAAAAACATGTATCTCACAACATATGCATGAAAGTTTTGTAAAACTTTTAAAATGTAACTTATGCGCATTCTCACAATGAAATAACAAGTTTGTAAATAACCACCGTAAAAATTAGGAAATAAAGAATTTAAAAATTAAAGGGCGAATCGAGTTGGTTTTAGAAAAGAAGCCCAATCTCGATCCAATGTTTTAAAATTATAGACATTCAAAGACAAATCAAACATCCTAAAAGAAAAAAAAAACTAAGAGGACTACTAGTGGGCACAAGACGTTATTTCGACCTTGATTTACAGTTGATTGTTAGTCGCGAAGTCGTATAACCAAAAATCAACGTTGTATCAACGTTAAAAAATATGTTTAAAACTATCAAATAAAATCGACGTTGATTCCATGTTAATTCAAAGTCTATATTACGAGTTCGACCGTTCGTAATTGCTGTATGAGAACTAAAATACGCATGCGTGACTTGAAAATTTTTTTTTTAGCAAAACAAATAACAAGTAAAGACGTAACAAGTTATTTATTAGCCCAATAAAAACATGTAAAGTCACACATGCTAATAATTAGGCCATCTGCTACCTTTTTAAAAGGTTTTGAATTTGACAATTTAGCAATAATACAGGCTTAACTTGTAATGCAGTTAGTTAGGTAAACATTAAATAGATTATTTGAATTATTTTTACAGTTTTCTAAGTAAGTTTTTTTTTAGAGTTTGATTAAATTGTTTTAATATGTATGTTAGAATATTTGACTATAATAGTTTCTATATATATATATATATATATATATATATATATATATATATATATATATATATATATATATATATATATATATATATATATTTATATATATATATATATATATATATATATATATATATATATATATATATATATATATATATATATATATATATATATATATATATATATATATATATATATATATATATATATATATATATCTATATTATATATATATATATATATATATAATATATATATATATATATATATATATATATATATATATATATATATATATATATATATATATATATATATATATATATAATATATATA